AACAGAGGAGGGAGCTGAGGAAACAGCTGAAGGCGCACGTATACGCGGGCGCGCAGCGGGAGGAGGACGAGGCGAGGAGACGGGAAGCATTGCAATTTGGCGAGAGCATAAAGAGCTATAGCAAGGCCCTCATTTCTCCAAGGCGCGCGCGGCACCGCACCAGGAAGGACGGCGCCGCGGCCGAGCTGCAGGAGGCTCGGCGCAGGCGGGACATGGCGGCAGCACCCAAGTTGGCAAGGTCACTGGCGGACACGGGGGTTGGAGTGAAGAACCGCTAGTATCGAGCCAACCCTCGTTTTCGCCGATGGGAGCGGAGTGGATTGCCTTCCTGGAGAAGGACGCGCTGAGCGACGGCTGGCGCGGCACGGAGGTACCCATACCATTCCGTCATGAGCTGCCAGCTGCGCAGCTTCGCCAACTTGAGTGCGCGGACGAGCACGGGGCCCCCGACAGCTATGAGGTGACCCAGGAGGCGCTGAAAAGAGCGGGGAATGATTCTGCTACGGCGCGGAAGGCGACGAGTAGGACGAAGATAAAGAAGTATGCGCCAATCTGGTCGGCCCCGTCGGAAATACCCAAGGCGATCATGGACCCCGCCTGGACCCCCATGCCATCAGAATATTTAAAGCTGGAGTCGGGAGCGGGGACGCGAGGAGCCATGATCGTAGAGGAAGCCCCAGTCACTCCTGACCCGTTTGCCAAACAGCAGCTGAAGCACCTGGGGAAGCACGACGAAACCAGGGGGCGTCTGTTACGGCTCTGTCTTCAGGCGCGGAGGCCACGCCCCCTGCCGACCCAGCCCCCCCCCCGCCCCACGGCCCCGCCCCTGGCGAGAAGAACGGGGAAGCAGGCCCAGCAGGGAGGTGCTTGGCGCATGTTATGCGTTGCTGGTGGCGGGCACACATTCGCGGAGGCCCCCCCCGCTGCGGCCCTTTCCGAGCACGCCCGTGGGCCGTTGCAGCGCGATGCAGATGGAGGGGGCGCTTGATGATAGCGACGAGAGCGGCATCGTGGAAGGGAGCACAAACAGGCCAGCCGATGCTGACCAAAAGCTACGACGCGACCAACGCGTTCGGCAGCGGTCGGAAGGCGCAGGTGGATGAGGGAGTTCGCGCGAGGCTCGAGGAGGCCGATGACATCCACGAGGGGGGCGCGAGCTTCATCGCGGACGCGCCCGCTTGCCTTCTGCGGGGGTCGACGGTGGTCGCGCAGGGGGCGGGCGCCGAGGCGGTCGTTCAGAGTGGCAGCGGAGGCTTCATGGGCGACGCGTCGGAGCCTGAGATATTCACGCTCAACTATCAGCTTGCGATTCAACGCCGGGCCGACTTTGAGCAGTCCCATACGAAGGGCGACGCCATGATTCAGTTTGACAAGTCGGCGCCCATCGACGCCAGCGTGGGCGCCTTCATGGATGAAACGTTCAAGCGCTGGCTGATCCCGAGGCCAGACGTCGCGGCGAAGGACGCGGCGCGCTGTCGCAACAGAGCGACTTGACGGCAACGGTCAGAATCGAACGAGGCAGGACGTGGAACCGGCGCCACGAGGACGCCTGCTCGCCAGGGAGGGCCACCATAGGCGAGCTCACTGCGGGCGGCTGCCGTGGAGGCCATCAGCGGAGGCATCTGGGGGCTTGGTTCAACGCGGTGAATAGCAATGCGAACGAGATGCAGGCTCGGTTGCAGGCTATCAATCGTGGGTGACTGATGGCGCAGGGCGCCTGGCACTCGCCCCCCCCCCCCCACCCCGCTGCGCGCGAAGCGACTGATGTTCATGTCACTGGTCAGCGGGCAGGTCTGTCAGGCGCGATTGCACCTTGCTGGGCGGAGCCTGGGTTGAAGCAGATGCGCGGGCCGTCGGCGAGGAAGCTGGGGTCGACGATGGGCGGTGCTGCGAAGGAAAATCTAGACCACCTCCGCGCCCTCACTACGCTCGCGGCGCACAGGCAATGGCACCTGGCCCTCTTTGCCTTGGAGGCCACGGCGCAGAGAATTCGCTCTTGGCAAGCCGTCGCGCGGCAACCTTGCAACCGCACCCACGCTCTTTCCGTCTTCGTCGGACAGGCGCGGCGGGAGCTGAACTCTGACTTGCGATGCCCCCCGGCCATGCTGGAGGGCAGCCCGCCGAACGTCGACGAGGACATCCACCCCTGGGCGCGCCAACTACGACGAGACCTGGAGGCGGCGCGCAGCTGCCCCGAAGGCGAGGGCTTCGCGTCGACATGGGGAAGGGTCGATCACGGAACTTCTCCGGGACGAGGACGCCACTCGTTTCTTCGTTCCTTTCGACCCGCGGTGCCTGCGCAGCGCCTTTGCGGCGACCGAGCGGCGCCCGCCAGGGGCGCTGGCGGCCGCCGTGCCAGGAGCCCAGGATGGCGATGTGCCGTGGGAAAATGTAGCAGGGCCTTCCCAATGCACTATCTCGATCAGTTCAGATCGTCAGGTTCGTGGTCAAGTTTTTTCGCGCGCGCACAGCCCTAGTAGCACGTGTGTGTCCAGGCAAACAATATGGACATGGGTGACATAGTATCTCCATTACCATTACACCCAGCAGCGCATGCATCGAATGTGGCACCGCATTTCAACCACGCTCAGAAGCAGCACGACATTTACCCCGACCGTGGCACGCAGGAAGATGTGCAAGACATACTACGTCGTACCCGTACAAGCTCTTGATCCCTACTTCGTGTACATGCGCACTGCGCGACGTGGGGCACCCCACGCACGAGGCCCCCCGTAGTCATATGTGATCTCACTTGCCGCCGACGCAGGAGATCGCGTCCATGTCAGTGGTCGGGCCGAGACTTCAACCTACCCAGCCGCGGCCCACGCGGCCGAAGACCCCTTTTCTGAGAGCCACTTCGCAGCCCGCCGCGCCCCGACTTCGAGGAAGCGACTTTCGAACAGCCCATGGCCTGCTGGTGAAGACACGCACTCCGATGGGGGCCTGCGGCGCGGGCGTTGCGCCCAGCAGCGGCCCCCTCGGCCCCGCCAGCGAATGGTGGCACCGCCTCCAGAGACGAAGATCGGAAGAAGCAGAAGGTCGAGGGCGGCATCCAGAGGGGCGCGACCAAGGAGGGGACGGGGAGCGAGCCGCGAGCACGCAGAGGGGGGCGTCGTCGAGCCGAGGCGAAGGACCGCAAGCTCAGCACGGAGGACGCGGGCCTCAAGGAGCTGCGGCTGCTACCATCGGCGCAGGTGGCCCAGCTCACTCAGAAGTCGAGGGCGACGCGGGGTGACGTCGCTCGCACGGTGCCGATCGAGACCTCGCACGCCGCGGTGGGAGCCATCCAGGAGGAGAACAAGAGGTTCGCGGCCCGAGCGGCAGACCAACGAGCCCAGGTGGGCAAGCTCAAGGACTAGGCCAAGGCTGCGAAGGGCACCGACAAAGCAGCGGAGGAGCGGGCCAACGAGGAGGCGAACGACGCACCGGACGAGCTACGAGGATTGGGCTCTCCGTGCCCCGCAGTTTACGCAGCGATGATCGAGTCCTTGGCATTGCATTGGCGAGCAGGATCGCGATAAGATGGAGGCCATGGCAGCGGAGATGGAGGCCGACCTTCCACTATACGCACGTACTTGCAAGCTGGAGTCGTGCAAGAGCGAGGATCGAGTGAAGATAGTTTTCTGAGAACACTATCTTTACTCGATCGCCCAGGGAGAACTTCTCCCTGGGCGATCCGACCCGCGAGCACATCCTGATGCACGTTTCCGCCAGCCGAGGCGCGACAGTGACGACGGGAGCGGCACCCAGCGGCTATCTCGAGGAGGAGATCAGCGCGTGGATAGATGTGCTGAAGAGTTGATTGAGTCCCTGCCGTGGGCGTCGTTGCCGAGTGGTTGCAGCCTCGAGTTCGGTCACTTCGTTATCGATGATAACGATGGCGAGATAGTGGGCCTCGAGGCCTCTCCTTTTCGTGATGAATGAGCATGTGTGTGTTCAGTACTGACGTGCGCGCGCACTCTGCCTGCATACTTTGAGCTGTAGGCTGCGCAGCCGTGTGCACCTGGTAACGAGTAGCGTTGCGTCGCGGACAGCGGACATAGCGCATGCGCGCGTAGTTTTTGCCCGCTTCCTCCTCGTGTCGCCTCCCTCCAGCCTCGTCCGTCGCCTGTGGCCCCTCGCTCGCCTTTGGCCCCGTTCGGTCCCCTCGGTCGGTCCCTCGCCGGGTTTCGATCGGTCCCTGCGTCCGTTCGGCTGGCATGTGTTTGGGAACTTGCACGTTGGGGTCTCACTAGTTGTGGATAAGCACGAGTAACGTCAAAGCTGTACATACACCGTAAGCTACGTAGAGAGGTTGAGATGTTAGCACTCATGTTGTCCCACAGCTGCGTACTCCTCCTCCTCCTCCTCCTCCTCCTCCTCTCCTCCTCCTCCTCCTCCTCCTCCTCCTCCTCCTCCTCCTCCTCCTCCTCCTCCTCCTCCTCCTCCTCCTCCTCCTCCTCCTCCTCCTCCTCCTCCTCCTCCTCCTCCTCCTCCTCCTCCTCCTCCTCCTCCTCCCCCTCCTCATCCCACTCCCAAGGACGGACCGCGCCATCGAGGGCCGCCGCCGTCTCGACCTGGCCGTCGTCCGGTGAGCGTCTCCTGGGGGCCCCCGTGCCCCCAGACCGCCGACATTGCGATTTTTTAACCACGCGAACCCCCGGGGGCATCGACCCGCCCCCTGGGACGGGCTGCTCATCCCGAGTCGTTTTGGACAGCTCCAGGACCAGCGAGCCAGCGAGGGCCTCCAGAGGCCGCAAGCGGCGAAAAGCCTGCGTCCAGAGGCCGCAAGCGGCGAAAAGCCTGCGACGTGGATGCCTGGATGCTTCCATTCGTTGGGGGCCAGGGTCCTCCTCGATGCCTCCTCGAGCCTCCTCCCTCCTCCGCTTCTGGTGCGCATTAGAACTTCTACAGGTCGCTGGGGGTCAGGGTCCTACTCGAGCCTCTTCCCTCCTCCGTTTATTGGTGCGTGCTAGAATTTGTCAAAATTCGTTGGAGATCAGGGCCCGAGCGGCCGCCAGCCGACCACGGCGCCTCCCGCCGCCGGACCGCGCGCTGGAGGAGCTGCCGGGCGAGTGCGTGGGCGACGTACGACTGGTGCGGCTGCTGGGCACGGGGCGCGGGCTGGGCGGCAGCACCGCGGTCTACCCAGACCCCTTCGCGCTGTGAAAAAACATGACAGAAGGTTGCTCGTTTCGGCCACCGGGGGCCCGCACCTGGCCTCGGGATAGTCAACACACGGATTCAGGATGAAACCAATCCCCGGGAAGAGGTCCAGATGTCTAAGGGTCGCGTCATGAAATCACGACGTCGGGGGTCTGGATACGAGGGGGAGTTCCGGGTTCGAGGTTTGACGTTTCGGGCGTTTTCGTTGCTTCTCCTCGGTTTGCCAGCCTCGGGATGCCCTCAGCAGCTGCGCCTCGCCGAGAGCGCTTCGGGAGCGCCGGGATCGTGACGAGCGGCCGCCGAAATTCCGAGTTGGGACACGAATGCCAGACGACGAGGATTTTTCGAGTCAGGTGCAACGTTAGGCGAGGGATGGGCCCAGGGGGGGGGGGGGCATTGACCCCAAATCTCAATTCGGGCATATCCCTCTACAGGAGGAAGATTCAGGAATTGGAACATATCTTGAAGACGTACGTTCTTCCTCTGTTAACTATGTTACATCATGGTTGCCTATGTTTAATTGTTCTTCAAAATCGGCCTGTAGGAGAACATGCCCGACCTAACCCAAACCCCAGACCCCCTCCAGTCAGGAAAACATCATGGCGGGAGGTTTTTAGCAATGTCCGGCTTCCACGGGTCATGGGCTCCGGGGCCGTCCAGAGAAACCATTCGGGATGAGAAACCGGTCCCGCGAAATGGGTCGAGACCTCGAGGGGTCGACGCTGTGAAAAAAACAGGACGTTGGGGGTCTGGGAACGCCCACGGATGGCCGATGGAGGCCCGGTGGCGCACCCCTCCCAGGGCCAGGGCCGTGCGGGTTCGCTATCTCGGGGGCCTGCCGTCGACCTATCGGCGATGCATCGCCGATGCCAGGTCGATGTTTCCCGCCCTGCCCCCCCCCCCCAGCTTGGCGGCGCCCGCCAGGGGATGGTCGGGGGCGGCCAAGAGGGGGACGATGACTGGGGGGGGAGACATCATGGCGTGGGCCATGATATCTCCCCAGATTGCATGGCGCCTCTTCTTGTTTCACGACGTTCCTGGCACCCCCCTGCGCCGCGCACACGCCGCCGGCCATGATCAGCGCCCCCGCCCTCCTGGACGCCCCCGTCTTGGCCGCCCCCGAGATGGCGCGAGGGGGAGCGGCCTTTTGAGAAGGCGGCGGGGCTTCTTGGCTGGCGGAGGGCGGAGGGCAGTCTCGGAAGGCCCCAGAGGCTCTCCAAGGGGGCCTCTTGGATAGACGAGCGCGTTCCACTACTCGCAAACTAGCTACTCGCAAATGGCCTGGATCCGCCACAGGGGATCTACGATAAAACACATCAATGCAGACATGTGTTTGGGGGAAGTTTGCGAGTAGGTGCTTTGCGAGTAGTGGAACGTTCTCGGCGATTGGAAGCCAGGCGGGCTGCCATGAAAGACCCCGTGCCTTCTTCGAATCCTCGCCGCCTGCTTGGAAGGCCCCCCTCCGTGCCCCGAGCCCGGCTCCGCCGAACGTTAACCCTTCAGGTCTACGAGGGGCTCGGTCCCTCGGGGAGCCACGCCGTGAAGGTCGTCCGGGAGAGCCCGACGAGGGAAAACAAAGCGGAGGAGGGCGGAATGATCGAGGGGGCATCAGGATGAGGAGGAGCAGGATGACGAGGAGGAGGATCGACCAGGATCGAAAGGAGAAGGAGGAAGATCAGGAGGAGGAGGAGGAGGAGAAAACAGCCGTGCTGAGGCCATGTCGCCTAAATCGTTTGTTTCTTTTTCCCCCATCAATGCTTGCACTGTCCTGGCGGAGATTGAAAGATTTGGCGAAAGTGTAGGGCGATTTCGATAGGCGGCTGGGTTCCCGGGTTCCCGATTCCGGTTTCACGGGTTCCCAATTGCTGGTTCTGGACCGATTTCGGTGGGCGGCGGGGTTCCCGGGTTCCCGGGTTCTTGGTCGATCTCCTTGTCGATCGGTCTCAACATCGATCTGACGACCCACCTTTTTATTGATCTCACAATTGATCCCGTTCTAGATCGCACGAGCGATCTCAGATCAATCTCACTATCGAACTCTATCGGTCTCACGATCTATCTCACTACCGATCGCAATATCATATCCATATCACGAATTTCGAACCATCCACTGATTGGCCATTTTTTCTGGTGTTGTTTGTCCCTCTCTCTCCATCTCTCTTTTTCCCTCTTTCTTTGAGTTACCATCTAAACGCTACGGTCTTCGTCGATCAGAGTCTGGCCAACGAAGGTGGAGAAGGAGGAGGAGGAGGAGGAGGAGGAGGATCGAAAAGAAACAAAAGCGGCATAAGTATAATCTTCCAGAGCTCCGCGAGGATTTCGTGGATGGGCGCCGGACCCCCCTCCCCGGCACGGGGAGCGCGCCAAGGGCGGCGCCGGGAGGCGCCGCCCGGGGCGCTGGGCGCCGATCCCAGAAATCTGCGCGAAGCTCCGAAAGTTTGTGTGTGTATGTATGCCATGTTCCCCTTCGACCCTCCATCCTCCGACTCACTCCTCCTCCCCCTCCTCTTCCTCCTCCTCCTCCTCCGAACGAACGAACGAACGAACGAGCGAATCGGGTCGGGCGCCGCGGCCGTTCCGAACGTCCCAGAACGCTTTCAGAGCCTTCCAGGGCGCTCTTGAGCGGCCGCGGCGCCCGAAGCAGCCTCCAGAGCCGCCGGATCTCCGAGGTTCCCGATCAGGCCCAGTCTGGTGTGGTCCCTTGTCCTGGCTCCGTGTCGGAGGCCCCCGAGCGGCGTGGCGACCACACCGCGTGGTGAGTCATGGGGACTCGGGGTCACCGCTCGGGGGTGGACAGGACTCCCACCCTGACATGTCATGTCGATTAGTGAATTGTCCGTTTCCGGTTCTCGAGAGGGCACCGCGGCCGTCGTAGCCCAGGCTTGCGCCCGCCAGCTTTGGGCTCGAGGTCGTTTTCACTAAACCACGTTTTATCAAAGGGGCTTCGTCCAAACCCGAACACCGCGTGGTGAGTCATGGGGATTCAGGGTCACCGCACGGTCTCGGGACTCGGGTCGTTCTCCGAGGACGCCTCGGGCGACCGGGCTCCCAGGATCCAAAAACTCGTGCGGCGGCGGACCGCGCTGTGAGGTCTCGTGGGATTTCATCATCCGACTCTCCTCCTCCTCCTCCTCCTCCTCCTCCTCCTCCTCCTCCTCCTCCTCCTCCTTCTCCTCCTCCTCCTCCTCCTCCTCCTCCTCCTCACGACTATGGCACCCCCGAGGATACCAGGAATCCAGGAAGTTGGACTGGCCAGGTGCCTTCTGGCGCTTGGCCCCCCTACGGCCGTGTCGACCAGGCCTCCGCATGCGTATTCAGCGAGTCGCTTCCAGATGCTCCACATGTGAATCCAGCCATGTGTCTTTCCAGCTCCCTCATAGAAGGTCATCCAGAAGAGCAGCCTTCCGCAGCACGCTGGCGTGGTGCGCAGCATTCTGGACGAGTGCCGCCTGCTGGGGCGGGTAGCAGGTTGCTCTGGCGTGCCCCGGCTGCACTCCCTGCTACATGGCCAGCCAGCAGGGGCAGCGATCCTGCGATCGAAGATCGGGGCGTCCAAGAGGGGGGGGATGGCTGACTGGGGGCGTCGAAGGGGGAGGGGGGGGGGTAGGTTTCATTAGTTCTCGGCAGCTTTCCAGCCTCGGGATGACCTCCAGCGACTGCGCCTCGGCGAGAGCGCCCTGGGCGTGCCTGGATCGCCCCGCACGGACGCCGAAGCCCCGAGCTCTGACCCGAAAACCACTAGGCATTGAGTGTGGGGGAATGATATGGGGGGTGTATATCATGGCCGGGGACATGATGGTTCCCCGCATTTTGTGGCCCATTCATCTTCTTTCAGTACGTCCCCTGGTGCCCGCCTCGTCCGCGCACGTGCCTCGGGCCATGATTCGCACTGCCCCCCCCTCTTGGACGATCCCGACAACAAGTGGAGCGATCTTGCGAACGAGGAACAAGAATCGGCATAAACATCAACTTTCTGAGGTCGCGCGAAAATGTGTTGGATCGGCGCCCGGCGCCCCTGGCGGCGCCTCTGGCGCCGCCCCTCGCGCGCTCCGCACGCCAGGGAGGGGGGTCTAGCGCCAACTCAAGAAATCCGCGCGGACCTCCGAAAGTTTAAACTTACGTGGTTGTTTGTTGCTCTGTGCGAGGGCGCCCAGATATCCGACGGTATGATATTTTCCCATCCGGGCGCTTGTTCCTCAATCTCGGCCTCTGGGGCCCGAGCACTTTACTGGGGATAGTAGCCTCGGGAACGCGAACGCAGCGTGATTTGCAAAAGACCGTGGCATCGAGGACGCGAATATGTTTATAAGGTACGAGGAATCGTGGCCCCCCGGGCACAAATCTTCTAGTTCACAATTGCTGATGGCCTCGAAGACGCTAGCATCACACAAAATACTAAGGATGATGGCGTCGGGGGCGCAATATAACGGAATCGTGGCCTGGAGGACGCGATCATTGTGTACTTTACGAAGGATGATGGCTTCGAGGACGAACATCTGGCGTATTGTTCAATGGATCATGGCTTCGGGGACGCGAATTTTGCATGATTTACAAAGTCTACGGCCTCGGGGACGCGAGCATTGCGCAATGTTTCACCGGGTTATTGCTTCAGGGACGCGACTATGGCGTAATTGACACTGGATCGTGGCCTCGGTGACACATCTATATATAAATATATACACATATATATATATATATATATACACACATACGTATATGTATATATGTGATGTGTGTGGGGGGGGGTAACGAGGGTGTATGGCTTCGGGGGCGCAAACATGATGCAAATTACGAAGGGTAATGGCCTCGAGGGCGCGAACATTGTGTCATGCATTGCGGATTGTGGCTTCAGAGATGCAGGTTTTCTATAATCTTCTAAGAAGAACGGCTTCGGCGACACGATTGTGGCGTAACTTGCTAGGGCGTATTGTCTCGGAAGTGCAATTAGCACATGATGTGTCAAAGGATCATGACCTCGGGGGCGTGACCACCGCAGAATTAGTTTCAAGAAAAAGGCTTCAAAAATAAAGCATTTGGCACGCGATTATCACTTTATGTACAAATGTTTATGGCCTCGGGCGGCGTGAATATCATGTATGTTCACGTGTCCCACTGCCCCCCCCCCAGCAATTCTGAGGCCAGCCGGAGGGCGTGGCGTAGGACGGTTTGGGGCACCCCTGTCGCCCAGACTTCAGAAGTTTAGAGTAGGAAGCAGAAAGCGAAATCATCACATTGGGCATTGGACACTGGAATTGGCGCAGGGAACAGCAAGCCTAAGCCGCGCAGCCTGATGGCCCCACCAGGGGGCCGGCGGATTTTCCAATCCGGGCGTCTGTTTCTCAATCGCGGCCTTTGGGTCCCGTTCTCGGGCCCCAGAAATTGCTCTGGAGAAGGGATCGGGATTTCTTCGGCCGCGCATTGAAAAATCAGATCGTCGGATGTCTGGGGGGTGGGCGTTTCGAGTCGAGGTTCGAGGTTTCGTGCGTTATCGTCGCTTTTTGGCGGCTTGCCAGCCTTGCCTTCCAGCAGGTGCGCCTCGCTGGGAGCTTTCTGGGAGCGCCCAGATCGTCCCGAACGACTACTGGAGACCTGAGCTAGGACACGAAGACCAGACGACAAGGGTCTCCTGGGTCAGGTGCAACGCTGGGGGGGGGGTAGGCTCAAGGAGGGGAAACATCGACCCCCAATCGCACACGTATCGCCGATCAGTGCCCGATAGCCCGCCCCCACCCAGCCACGCACGGACTCGCTACAAGGGCCCTGTCGCCAACCTGTCGGCGATGGTACCGCCGATTCAAGCTCGATGCTTCACCCCCCTGAGATAGGATACAACTCCCGAGAGGTCAAACTCAGAGTCGGCGATGGCACATCCGCGGTCGAAAACTGGGCAAACCCACCATTATCCAACGTAGCCCCGTTTCATAACGATTAATCGGGCGCGGTCGAGCTTGATCTTGGGCCGAATCTTGCCCAATCTAGCAGAATGCTTCCAGCTTTGCAGCCGCTACTCGTCAGGAGTTGTTTCCTAACGTGAAGGGGGGGAGGGGGGAGGGCTATCGAAGGAGAGGATAGCAAGTCGGATGACCACCAAGGAACTGGCTGATCACCACGGGATTTCGCGGGCCAGTCCGTTTTCGTGGCACCTTCATCGGGCTTGTTCGTTTTTTATCGTTCTTTCGAAGACCTTGCAGAAGTTGCCTCCTAACCTGTGCCACCCTGTCCCCCCCCCCCCAGGCCAGCAGAGCATCTACATCCTGTACGAGCTCACAGAGGGTCAGAGCCTGGGCGAGCTGCTCCCGTGCAGTGCCAAGGGGGGTGCCCCCCCATAGAGGGTCGAGGATCGGGGACGTGTTGGGTCCTAGGGTGGGGGCGTCCTGGAGGTGACGACCCCGTGAGTGGTGACCCAGACATCCGACGTCGCGATTCGCTTCGCAACGTGACTCCCCAGACGTCTGAACCCCTTCCCGTGGATCCGCTCTTCATCCTGAGTCGTCTTTTGATTGTCGTGGGGCCCAGTGAGGGCCCCCGGAGGCCGAAAATGGTACAAAACAGCAGAGTCAGGGGGCCGAACGGTCATTCATTGTCCCTGGGCGAGTAGCTGAAGAGGGGCTCCGCGGTGCGGATTGTTGTTGCGTTGTTGTTGCTGCGTTGTTGCGTTCTCATTTCAAAAAATCATTCGTGTTGATTCCCCCCGGTGCCCATTGTGTTTTTTTCCCACATCCAGAGTGGGGTTCTTGTTTTCTGTGCGCACCCCCCGCGTAGTCCTCACACATCTCACCTCGCACACCCTCACCCCCTCTCCTCCTCACCATGTTCTCACACTCACCATCCCCAGCATCGTCACTATCATCATCGTTGCATGGCCACCACCACTACTTAATCATCATTCCCTGTCATTGCCGTCATCACCCTCACATTATCATCAGCATCACCACCATCAACATCATCAGCATCAGCAGCAGCATCATCACCATCACCGTCATCATCATCGCACACACACACACACCTACACTTAGGAAGTCTCAGGCGGGAGCCTCGCCTGTGAGTGAATTGCGAGGAAGTCTCATGCGGGAGTCCCCCTCCCTATGGGGCCCGCAGATAGTGTTAGTAATCCGTGCGGGTCATCGGAAATCTGTAGCTGTCGTCACGTAGAAGCCCCATCAATCCTGAATATGGCGGAAGTCTCGAGAAGGAGACTCGTCTGTGAGTGACATGCTGGGAGGAAGGAAATCTCAGGCGGGAGCCCCTCTCTCTTGGGGCCAGCAGATCATGGTATTAATCAAGGCGGGCCATCGGAACCCTGTATTTGTAGTCGCTTTGGCGCTCCTCAGTCTTGAGAATGGCGGAAATCTCGATTGGGAGCCTCGTCTGGGAGTTGATTGCGAGGAAGTCTTAGGCGGGAGCACCCTCCCTATGGGGCTTGCAGTTCATGTCATTAATCCGAGCGGGTCATCGGAACCTATTAATCGTCTTCAATTCCGGCATTTTACGGGAAAGAATTTGGCGGGAGTGTCGTCTGTGGTTGAATGGCGAGGAAGTCTCAGGTGGGAGCCCCCTCCCCATGGGGCCCGCAGCTCATGTTACCTATGCAAGTGGGTCATCGGCACACTGTAACTGTCCTCAGTTTCGGCTTCTTGCACTTTGAATAAAGCGAACGTCTCGAGCGGGAGCCTCGTCTGTGACTGCATGGCGAGGAGCCGTATGCGGAACATGCTGATCCTGCGGCCGCCCACGCAAAAGATCTTGGAGCGCGGGGCGCCGGCTTCCCCGTGGAATGCGTTCAAGCGCGGCCCCGACTACCTCGAGACTTGCGGGGTTGTCCCAACAGCTTGCTGCCACGCCCCAGCGTTTCGAGGGGTTGTCCCAACGGCCTGGCCCACGGGGTTGCCACAGCGGCTGCGATCGGACCATCGGAGAACGCGCCCGTGCCGCCCGTGGCGGCAACGGCACCAAAGAAGATCGACTCGCGCACCCTTGCAAAAAGGGATGGGTGAGGAGGTGAACGGGGAAGAGAATGCAGGAGGACGAGGGGGAGACATAGCGGACGGGAAGAGGGAATCCGCCAAGACGAAAAAGACAAGCGCGATCAGGATACGGGATGGAGCCTCTGCATTCACGAGGACGAAGATGAGGTTTATCTCCAGATTTGTTTGGGTGATCAACCTATCGGGGTCCTACCGTCTGAGTGATTTAAGAGAAGTGTTCCCTTGGGGCTGCCACCTTGCTTTTTTTGCAAAAGAAACAGCCTTGAAGTTCAGAATGCGTTGTTGCCCCCCCCCCCGAACTTCAACGACAACGTCAACAGCAACAACAATCAGTTTAAGGCTGTTCGCTCCTATCCGCTCGCGTGCCAGTCAACAGGAACTTCTCCTTTGTTTCCGTTCAGTAGGCTTCGTCTTGGCATGTTCCCGGGTCGCCTGGCCGGTTCCCGGGGGGCACTGTGGCGGTGAGAAGGATTGCCGCCTGAGGAGCCCGCGCGCCGAGACGTCGGCAACACGTTGTGGTTCGGCCCGTTCCGCATGAGACGCCCTCGAAAGTCTGCGTTCCGAGACAATCCGATTCGACATGGCCTGGCCCGTTTCGCCTGAGACATCCTCGCAGCTCTGGGCTCCGAGACGCTGCGCGAGAGGTGGTCTGGCCCACATCGTCTGAGACATCCTCGCAACTGTTGGGCTCGAGGATACCGTGACCTGAGGTTGCCTCGTCCGTTTCGCTAGGGGCATCGTCGCTACATTAGGCTTCAAGGTGCCGCCCGCGAGGTGATCCTGTTTGTTTCGCCTGAGACGTCCCCGCAATTATGGACAAAGAGATGCCGCGTGCGAGGGGTCCAGCCAGTTTCGCATGAGACGTCCCCGCAAATCCGAGCAACTGTTAAGGAGTGCGAAGCGAAGGAGGAAGGGGAGGAGGAGTAGCAGGATGCCTGAGGACGAGAGGGAGGAAGGATAATGTTCGTATTGCTGTCAGACGAGTACTGAGCCTATTGAGAGGGGCCTGACGGCCGATGCCGCCGACCCTGAAGCACATCGACGACCAGTAGGAGGAGAAGGAGGAGGACGAGGAGGAGGAGGAGGAGGAGGAGGAGGTAAGGAAGACGAGGGGGAGGAGGGGTGGAGGAAAAGGAGGAGGAGGAGGAACATTTGCTGCTTTTCCTCCTGCTCCTCCTCCTCCTCCTCCTCATCCTCCTCCTCCTCCTCTTTGTCCTCCTCCTTCTCTCTCCTCTTTCTCCATCCCCCCTCCTCCTCCTCCTCCTCCTCCCTCTCCTGCACCTCCGTCTTCTCCTCCTCGTCCTCCTCCCCCACCTCCTCCTGACTCCTCCCCCTCTCCCTCCCCCTCCTCGACGACGGCGGCGACGACGACGACCCCATGTCGCCGCACCGCCGAGCGCTGGCGGGGGAGGGGGGAGGAGGTAAGGAGAAGGAGGGACCCCCCCCAGGGACCACCCCCCGGGACTACCCCCCGGGACCGCCCCCCGGGACCCCCCCCCTGGGACCCCCCCCCGCCCCGGGAAGGGATCCAAGGGGAGGGCTTCGCCTTCACCTCGGAGACGGAGGGGGAGCTGTTGGAGTGGGGGCCCTAGTAGCGCAAAGTGAAGGAGGAAGGAGGAGGAGTAGCAGGATGCCTGAGGACGAGAGGGAGGAAGGATAATGTTCGTATTGCTGTCAGACAAGTACTCTTATGTTCATTGCTCTCGGGAAACTTCTCGTCGCCAGGACTGGACGCGGCTCGACCGTGCCTGGTGATGCGGGCCGGTGCTCAGCCGACGAAGGGGATGTCTCGGACGGTCAGGTAGTTTTAGGGGGCGGAGGTGTGTTTCGGAGCCGTGTGGTCCTCGCTGGCCACTTCGGTTAGCTTTTGGTGTTGTTTTGGGCCCCATCCAGGGCTTGCCTTGGCTGGCGAGGGGGGCAGTGCACCTGAGCCCCGGTGCCCGGGTCGCCCGGGACAGATTCGGGCGACCCTGGCAACCCCAACGGCGGTGCCGGGGAGATGCCCAGGAGGGGTTGCCCTCAAAAGAGCTGGGTGCGCCCCATGGCCCACAGAGAACCATCCTCGGAACCTCGGGCTCCGAGATGCCCTGACTTGATGTGCTCTGGCTCGTCTCGCATGAGACGTCCTCACAATTCTGGATTCCAAGATGTGGTTCGGGAGGCACTCAGACCTGTTTTGCCTGAGACATCCTCGCAACCCCAGGCTTCGAGATGCCCTGAATTGAGGTGCTCTGGTCCGTTTCGCTTGAGACATCCTCACCCTTCTGGGTTCCAAGATGTGGTTCGCGATGTACTCGGGCACATTTCGCCTGAGACATCCTCGGAAACCGTGGCTCTGACCGTGTGGCCTGAGACATCTTGCAAGATGCGGTTCACGAGCTGCTCAGGCCCGTTTCGTCTGAGACATCCTCGGAACCCTGGGCTCCGAGGTGCCCTGGCTTGAGGTTCTCTGGCCCGCTTGGCTTCAGACATCCTCGTAACTCACACCTCTGGGTTCTAAGATGCGGCTCGCGAGGTGCTGTGGCCCGCTTCTTTCGCCCGAGACATCCTCACCACTCTGGGTTCCAAGATCCAAGACGTGGTTCGCGAGGTACTCAGGCCCTTCGCCTGAGACCTCCGAACCCAGGGCTACTGCGAGATGCCCTGAATTGAGGTGCTCTGGCCCGTTTCGCATGAGACGTTCTCGCAAATCTGGGTTCCAAGACTTCGTCCGAGAGGTGTTCAGGCCCGTTTCGCTTGAGACATCCTCGGGATCCCTGGCTCAGAGATGCCCTGAGTTGAGGTGACCCGGTTGGAAGTGCGCCTCGCTTGAAGGCGACATTGACGGAGAGGTCGCTTGGGTTGCCCCGGTGTCGGGGGAAGTTGGGGACACATAGAAAGTGATAGAACAAACGATAAGTCGCCAAATCCCAAGCCGCCCCCTTTGTCTTCGACCGTACCCCCTTGGGATATCTTCCTTACCTGCCACACGCATTTAGAGCAGTCCATCAGACATGGGAAGAGAGGAGGAAGGGGGAGGGAGAACGATGAAGCACGGCTGAAATCAGCAGGAAGGGGGCTAGGAGCAACAAAAACGTGGCAGAACCAGACGGGCAGATCGGGCGGGCAGACCTTAGCGGGCGGGCCGGGAAAACGGGCCCAGGCGGCCAGGTCGAACAGGCGGTTGTAAAGCGTAAGTGTTGCATGAATCTCGAGGAAGACTCGAGCGACAGCGCGATTCTCAAGGAAATCTTCCAACAAAGCCAAAGCGACAACGCGATTCCTGATCGTCGAGGGCACGGCGTTTAAGTAAATTGCATGGAAATCCCATGCGAGAGCGCGATTCCTTCA